TCTTCGCGGACTTGCATAAATAAAAGTCATAAACTCCTCTCTATTTTCTTTTACCCAACAAATTTTAGTATGGACAAGTTGGTGATGAGAAAAAAGAACATCCACTGAAACTTCATCAGTGTTCCAAAGCACCCAAATACCGCCAGAAAAACCAACAGCATCACGATGAAAGTGACCAGAAAAACCAAGACGCCGAATAGCTCTATCCGCCATAACACCACTCAATCTGGTTTCTAACAAAGCCATAACTTTAATACTGTATCTATGAGAAAGATCCCGAATTAGAGGCGGAAAACTCCTTTTCCCAGCCCCTCTACAATTCCAGGTCAAAATATTCATAAAAACAATCTTAAATTTATCCGAACAGAAACCGGCCCTAAGAAGGAGCATTGGTATAGACCGAAGTCGCACCCAAAACGTCCAAATTATCCAAAGGGATAGAATCCTTGTGAGTTTGATAAAAATTACTCATTAACGTAAGAGCATCTGGTGGTCTTCCATGTTTACCTCCATTATCCAAGCCACTAGAAGAAGGAAGAGTCTCTTGCTGATCATTAACCACATGAGATGTCTTCCTCTGGAATTTAGATAAAGAAGGGTGCAAGACAATTTGTCTATCTTGGAAATCCTCCGACATATTCTTCTGAGAATAAGTTTAAAATTATTCTTTTGAGATTCTGCACCTTTTGAAGCATTTAATCTGCCTTTGCTAATATTAGCATTCTGGACCAGCTGATGAACTTTAGCAGATGATGCAGTTGCTTTCTTCTTTTGGTTCTCTTTGAATTTTACTCCTTGACTTTGGACCTCTTTTCTCGACTTGCCCGCGGATAGGTTAGCAGATGGAGAAACTGTTTCCATTTGAATATCCTTTTTCACCAACGGTTCTTCATTATGAGCAATTAATTCCCCATGATTAATTCGTGTCAGACCAGATTCAATGCTGATTGAATCAATCACTGGAGAATCAGAAATAATTAAGATATTATTATCCTTTTGAGCCAACTCAGCAATAGCTTGAAATCTTGAACCTGATTGAATGACCTGTCTGTGATTAGGATGAGAATTGGAAACTACTTTATTACGTAACGCTGCATTATTAACAACGCCAACTTGTCTCCTACCCGATGGTAATGATTCCTCCTTTGATTGTGCTATGCTCCTTGATTCCTCCTTTGATTGTGCTATGTTCTTTGATCGACGGTTACGCTGCACTAGCATCCAATTCCCAAACGGTTCCTCCTTCGCCGGAACAGAATCTTTTTCCGGCTGCTTATGCACCACCGAGTCAGAAACTTTAGGAGAATAAGCCGTAATATCTTGTTGAAGATTACTATGGGAACACTGATCCCTTCTATGCCCATACTTTCCACAAGCAAAACAAACTAAGTGGAGACCCTCATATCCAACATGGAAGATACGATCAGCAATCCGGAATTTGGACAAAAAGCCTTTCCTAAGATCAACTTCGACACAAATTCTAGCAAACTTTGCTCTCTCTGTAATATCACCTTCACCAGAATCACGTTTCCTGATAGAGTTCCTATCAATCTTCAATGTGCGACCAAAAATACTACCTATATTCCACAAATGATGAGAGGTATAGAATTCAATAGGAAGTCCTGGAATACGAATCCAAACTGCCAGCTTTTTGATCTCATCATCATAAGGATTAAAAAATGGACGCCACCGTTGAACTACCACATAATGATCAGCTATGATCCAAGGACCATCCTCCAAAACATGAGAGTAATCATTCTTATTTGAAAATCGGAACAAAAAGTAGTCATTCTCCAGATCAATGAACTCATATGTGCCTGAGATATTCCACATTCTCAGTAAACGATTGAGTAAGAATCTAACTCCAACTTTCTTCCCCAGAAGTTTCACAATCACTGCCTGTCTCAAAGGTCTGCAACCTTCTAAATGTAAGGCTTTTGGAAAAGAGTACGTTGGGCAAAGAGGATCCTCCTCACCATCAACCGTAACAAAGACCTCATCCCCTTCTTCTTCGTCTTCTTCCTTACGTAGTTTTTCTACCCAATCTTCCTCATCGCTATCAGCAACATGGGGTCCTCCATTAAAACCAAGAAGAGAATCTTTATATGACACCAACTTCCTGTTAGATGAATCACCTGACTCTTCCTTCTTTTCCCCCCCGTTTCTAGTCACATTCACCTGGATATCCTCCTCTGCCATGTGATCATCCATAGGTTGATCTTCCATAGCAGGGCCTTTAGGTTTTTTTGTGCTTCGATGGAGAAGATCTTCCTCCTCCGTCGTAGCATCTCTCGCCTCCTTGCTGGTTTCTCTCTCTTCACTCATCTCTCAATAAAGATAATTTTATTGTCGGATCGTGTAGTTTAATCACATTAGTATAATCATTCATGACTATATCACTCTTTATGGCTTAAATTTATTTTCTTTTCTTTTTTATCAAAAAGTATAGAAGTATTTGTGATGGAAGATTATCGGTTAGTCTGTTTAAATCAATGTTATTAAACCCGACTCGGTTATCGACCCGGTCGAGGTACTAGGTTACTGGGTCACTGGTTCAACCAGTGAGTCACTGGTTCAACCGCATGACCCGGTAAGTATATATAAATCTACAATTTATATTAAAAAAACTATAAATATACTTAAATACTTGTAAAAAAATATACCAAATTCAAATTTTTTAATATGAGAATAATAAGTTACACATCATTGTCCAACAAAAAGATCAATCAAACATATAATATTTGTGATACTAGTGTTTCAGGTTCAGTAAACGACATCTCTAACTATAAATCAAATCAAAATTCTCTGCATATTGCATACTCAAGATAATATTAATGTTGTAGGTACATAATCTATGTAAGTTAATAAGCTACAAATCGTTCAAATATTTCAAAAGAAAACAAATCATTTGAGTTTGAGAGTAAAAAAAGAAGATATTAATTTATGAAAAGAAATTAATTTTTTTTATAGACCTGTCCGGGTCACCGATTTTAACGAAAACCGGCCGGATCGCACCGGGTCACACTGGTTATATAACATGGCCGGTCCAATATAAAAACCAGACCAATTACATGACCGGTTCACCGGTTTTTAAGTAAACCCGACCGAATCGGTCCGATTTTTATAACATTCGTTTAAATATACTAATCATTCAATTCATCACTTCGGTTATGGAAACCTTTTTTTTTTTGGTGTGGAATTACAAAAAAAAAAAATTATAAATAAGTTAATCAAGTTGTCTGTTATTCTTTTTTTTTTAATTTTAATAATTGCACTGACAGTCAAATTATGAACCAATAAATCGACCACTTTACCGTCTTCAATATTTGTTTCAAATTTTAAATTATAAAAAATTATGAAGTATAGATAAAATGATACGATTGTGATTTAACTTTAAAATGAAATATTCTTTTTATAGAACTGATGAAACTTGAGTTATGACTTTAAAAATAAAATTTATATTTCTTATTTAACAAAAGGCTTTAATGTTTCTACAGATAAAATGAATGTAGATAAGTTATCTATATTCGCTCCCAAAATAACATCTTTTTGGGTTGAAAAATTATAATAAAAAATACTATTATAACCCTAAAATAAATTATAATTACAAAAATACTTCAATTTTTGCCTCTAAACTAAAATAATAAATAAAAAAACCTTCAAATTCCACGGATAAAGCATAGCATTTTAATTGTTTTATTACAAATAATTAGTATTATATTTTGTACATTTAAATATATAATTAAAAAAATAACATTTAACGACCATCAAAACGATAACAAATTATTTTTTAACAAAGATCGGAATAATCAAACCATAATATTTCTTTTTTCACTTAGCCATAGCTTAAATGATACAGTACCCTCATATTAGATACGTAGAACCATAGCTAATGCTTATGGAAGAAAAAAATATTAAATTTCATTATTTAGGTATACGTACTATTTAAGTAGCCACAAAAATAATTGTGATTATTTGTATCCAAAAATTATATTTACCCACGTTAACAACTATGATTAATTATATTAAAATTTTTGACATATTTTTCTTCTTAAACAAAAGCTACTTTTAAGTTAAATTTAAAAAACAAAAATTTAAAACTATTTTTTGATTATATAAAAAATTTAATTAAAAATTATTTTAAAACTCAAACTGAAAATAAATTGTTAAGTAAAATAAGTTTTATAAGTTCAATTTTTAATAAAAATACAATAAAGGTGATATTATTAGAAACCCCTATATTATCTAATTAAAAGCTCTATTTAATTGTTAGAAAGCTCTATCACTCATTATTAGTAAGATCTTGATAGTGCATTCATCTCACTTGCAAAATCTCCCTCCCGGGAAGAATATTGTCTTGTCATTATTAGGGAAAAGGGTAAAATTTGTAATACAAATTTAAAATAAAGGCAAAATTAATAAGTAAATATGATAATTCTTAAAAGCTAATATACATCTTTAAAAAAATTGTAGGTGTTTTTGACTCTCTTTTTTATTCATTAAAAAAAAAAACTTTTTATAATAATAATTTTTCCAAAATTACATTTAGCTAAATTTTTCTTTTAAAAAGAAATGTTAAAAATAAGACTTGCCAACAGGTATTCTGAAAGAAAAAATTATTAAATTTTATTATTTAGCTATAGCTATTAGCCACGAAAATAATTGTGAGTATTTGTATCCAAAAATTATGTTTACCCATCTTAACAATTGTAATTAATTATATTAAATTATTATTATTTTTACCAATTTTGGAATGTGTGAATTATGGCTAATTTGATAATATACCAATAAACTAAAAGTTTATTAAGAGATACATTCTCAATGATAGTTTATCCAAATATCCCAATAAATTAAAATATTTGCTAATTAATAATAGGAATTAGTGTTTCTCTGCAAACAGGAAATACATATAATAAGAAGAGAGAGAGAGAGAGAGAGAGAGAGAGAGAGAGAAAGTGAAATACATCCATTTACATATGTGTGCACGATATAAAGTTATTTCTTGCTTGCAGAAAAAATATTAAACTCTTCATAATCATAATAAGTCTGATAGTTGCATATTAATATCACTAGCATAAGCAAACGTCTTGTACATGTATAATAAATCCTTAACTTCCATAACTCTCGAAGAACTCAAAAAGCAAAATGTTGGAATGACATCAGTTCATGCATATCGATGGTACATCTTGGTTGAATGACGGTAATTCATTACCAAATTTGTCTGACAGAAATTTGCAAAGAGTAGCGAATTGTTTTTGAGTTTGTAAAAGCTGTTCTTTGGTCTCTTCGTATCCTTCCAGTTTCACTTCTAAAGTTTTTACATGCTCCTTCAAGTCTTCAACACATTGTTGATTAGAGCCACCAAATTTAACAGCAGCAATAGAAGGTCTAGGTATTCCTTCAAAAACACTTGAGGGGCAAGCACCAGCGCCTAAACCACGCACCCGACCTGAATGTTCAGTTCCATATGCTTTTCCAATAGCATCATCCGGATAAGCCAATATCTTCGATGGGACACCTGAAGTGGCAGCACGTTCTTGATCCCGAGATAGGTTCTCTAATATCTTATCCTACAAAATAATATGCAAGAAGCCATCAAATAAAAGAAACAGCATAATCAGAAAAACTAAAAAATAAGTAATAATAGTGCCATATTCCATTGTTGGATAGCGCAACTAATTTGTATAGACAACTTAAATTCAAATGTAGTTCAAAAGCACAATCTTCATCAATCTTAAAGTAATTTCATTTACATTTCTTTACCTAATGGAACGGTTATCATAAAAATAACCACTAGCCAAGAATTGGCAAAATTCCACTGCATAATTCAGCAAAAAGCCAAAAAGATCACTAGTGTAATGCGCTGATCATTTTACAAAAGGATATCTTAATTCCCCAACATCATTAATCAAAGAGACAGAAGTAGAACTAGTTGGCAAAACAAATGGATGGAACCTGCGAATAAACAAGAGGGCACATGAAGGACAAAGCTTGCCTAACTACCTCATTAACTCAATTCTTCTAGCTGTACACGGAACATATCTGAAAGCACTGTGAGATGTAGATTTTCATGCAAACAGCAGTCAAAGCATTTAAGCTGGAACATCCAGAAAATTATAAGCATTTAAGCATGATTCAGCTATAGATTCACAATCTCGGGATAATTTTCTATTATGTGATTGAAGTCATCTGAAATTACCACTGATCATTTCCACTGGAAGTTAGAAGCCATTGATTTTATAACTCTGTAAATAGAATATGACAAGCAATGAATGAGGGCTAAATGCCAAGCCAATTTAGCACACATGGCAGAGAGTAAGTTAATGATAGCAATAGCAACACGATCATTCAAGTTAATATGTGGCTCGAAACATGGCATACACGGCACACCAGGAAAATCACGGACAAATATAGGGAGTAAAATATGGACATAACAAAATCAACAACAGCAGAAAAATGATAATCTCAATCCTTCTAATTTACTTACAGCCAAAGTCTTGCCTTCTTCATTTACGTAGTTTCCATCCTTCTTCTTTAATGTTGACAAAATAACCTCACTTCGACATACAGGCCTTCCCAATTGTAGCTCCTAATATCATCAATAAAATACAAAGTAAGAAATAATTGGCACATGAAGCACAACTAATTTGCTACAACAATGTGATTGTCTAAAACAATTTACCATTTCATGACCTCTCCTTGCATTGCTCTTACTACCACCAGCATGTGAGATCTTAAGCTTCTTACGACTTAGTTTGTTTTGTAAACTTCGTATCTATAATTTTCAAATATAATATTCATTATATACCAAGTTTTCCAAGACATGCACAAAGTAAAATAATTTCTTATTAAGAATGCTTACCCTCATCTTATCATCTTTATAATGATTCACAAAAGCAGTCCAATCAGCACAATCCACACCTGGAGGAGGATTACCAAGTATGTCTTCCGTACTTCTATTAGGGTAGAAATATTTACGCCTTAACCTATATTTGTGGGCCTTCCATCTTTCCCCTAAGGTACTCATAACCCATTTGATGCCAGCAGCATAATCAAACTCAAAATTTTCCTTCAAATATTATCATATGCATAAATCAATCTTCAATGGCAAGAGAGACAATTAAACAATAAAATTTAAGTTGTAGTTAAAATAGATAATCACCGCAATATAATTCCATTGTTGGAGGCTATTGTCCTCTGGCATTTGATTCCATCTTTCAACCGACAAAGGACAAACTTTTGAGTTTTGAGAAAGTTTACCAAGAAACCTCACAAGCAAGTTTGAACCGCTGTCCATGCCTTGTCCATTACCATTGAGTTCCACAATAACTTTTTCAGTTTTTTCCAAATACCAAATCTGATTTGCTTGCAATTTTTGAGTTACGATTTCTCCAGTAGAGGTATCTACCATTCCGTACACCAAGCAAAGTTAACATATATTTTCAAATACGAAATACACAAAATTGATATCTTGCTATTACCTCTAACCATAACATATATTTTCAAATGCGAACATCCACAAAATAAAATACTAAAGTTAATGATATATTAGTCTCTTACCTCTAACCTTAACATATATTTTCAAATGCAACATCCACAAAATAAAATACAAAAGTTAATGATATCTTAGCCTCTTACCTCTATATTTTCAAATACGAAATACACAAAATTGATATCTTGCTATTACCTCTAACCATAACATATATTTTCAAATGCGAACATCCACAAAATAAAATACTAAAGTTAATGATATATTAGTCTCTTACCTCTAACCTTAACATATATTTTCAAATGCAACATCCACAAAATAAAATAGTAAAGTTAAGGGAAAAAGAAGTATCCTTTTGAATGACACAAGCTTGTGTCATTTTATTGTGTCATTTTAGGTGTTTTACACAAAGTACAACCGGTCGTACTTTGTGTAAAACTGAAAAGTTGCTTTTTTTCTCTCCCAGTCACTAACGTGTAAAGTGAAAAAAAGAAGAAGTAACTTTTCAGAATTACACAGAGTACGCGTACTCTATGTAAATCACTAAAAGGACACAACTTGTGTCCTTTTTGAATGACACACACTAAACCCTAGTTAATGATATCTTAGTCTCTTACCTACATATATTTTCAAATGCAACATCCACAAAATAAAATACTAAAATCAATGATATCTTAGTCTCTTAACTATAACCTAAACATACATTTTCAAATGCAACATCCACAAAATAAAATACTAAATTCAATGATATCTTAGTCTCTTACCTTTAACCTTGACAGCCAAGGGCTCCTCTTTCTGTTGTGACTCAGTTTCAGTTTCGTTTAGGCTTAAGGATTCAGTTTCATTTTCATCTCTTGCTTCATCTTCGCTTTGCTTTGTACCTTTCTTATTTCCACTAACCATGACCACTTCTTTATCCTTGACAATCCCTCTTTTTCTACCGCGTCTCTGCTTCTGATTGAAAATCCCATCATTTTCGTTTGCATTATCCCCTTCCAAATTGCCCTCATCATTTGCATTTGCATTTTCAACCATAGCTAACAACTTCAACGCCTCTTTCTCTGCTTTACTCTTTCTTCCGCGCTTCTTTCTCACACCAGAAGAACAACCCAAAGCGGCATTTTCACCCAATTTCGCCATTTTCGAGCGAGTCATGCTTCCGCGAGCATCATCGCCATTTGCGTCAAAATACGAAGCTTGTGTTTCTTGATGGGTTGCGTTTGCGTCCATCGGTGCTTCTTCCGTTGCGTTAAGAATGGGTTCAATTGCCACTGTCTTCTGCTGCCGTTTCTTCCTTCCGCGCGCCATTGTTGTTAGGGTTTGCTTCTTTTCCCTTTTGCCCGTAGCAAGAAATGAAGAAATTCAGATCGGAGGTTATATTGAATTATCATTTTTTTATTATCATTAGGAAAATGTTATATGATTACTTATCTAATTAGTTATTATTTGATTAATTTGAGATTAACGATAATTAATTTCTTTTATTTTTTAACGGTTAATTTTTGATTAATCGAATGGTAACCAATTAATTGGTATTAAAAGTAATAATTGTAAAATAGTAATAAGTATAACCGCTCTCTTATTATTATTGTGGTGTGTCATTGAAAAAATATATAAAAGGGAAGAGGTATATTTACAAAATAAATTATTTACAAGTTTTAATTATTGATTTTCATCAATTTAACGGTTATAATTTATTTGGTCATATATATTAATTAATTATTAATTTCTAATAAATTATAATCATTAGATTAATGATAATCAGTGTTAAAATTTAGTTGAACAAGTTTATAAATAATTTAGTTTGTAAATATAACTCTAATTGCACTAAAATAAATTTAATTTTCACTTTCCACAATTAACATAAAAAAATATATGTTAAGGAGTTAAAAATAAAAAAAATACCAAAATAAAGAGAATTAATATTTCAAATTTTTAAAAAATTTATTAATTTCTACTGTAAATATTAATTTATTTTCAATTTTTAAGTGCATTGAGAAAATATATTGATGAAATTTTCGGGAATGTTCACCACCATTTTAAGTTTACCACTCTTACTATCTATTTGGATACATTTAATCAATTTGAAATAAGTGGCAGTTATATTTTCTTTTTTTTCAACCATTGATTTTAAATTGATCCAACGATAACTAAATAGTTAGAAAGAGTGGTAAGCATAATTTATCATTTAAATAAATAGACATTAATAATAATATGGGAGTCATTATATAGCATAAGTTTAGCAAATTTAACTATATTTTTTATGGGATTAATGTCTCTCATATTGTGGGAGATAAAATTATCTTCTATACACATATAAAAGTGTGTGATGACTATGCGGGGCTATTTGAAGAGAAGAGAGAAAAAGAAAATATAGAACCTACACACTTTTATGTTTGTGTAGGAGATAAATTTATGTCCTCCAACAAGAAAAATATTAATCCATTTTTCTCTCTCTTCTTTTCAAATGGTCACACACACACTTTTATGTGTGTATAGAAAATAAATTTATTTCTTACAATAGAAGAAACATTAATCCCTTCTCATATATATATATATGTGTGTGTGTTTTGACTGAGGTATAAGATTTACAAGTCTTACTCACCATCTCAGCCGTTGATTTCTGTCCATCTAACGATTATAGTTTATTTAGAATTAATAATTAATTAATTGGTATAACTTAATAAATTATAACCGTTAGACGAACGAAAATCGATTGTTAAGATGGGGAGTAAGACTTGTAAGTCTTACACTAGAGTCAAATGATCTATCTCATATATATATATATATATATATATATATATATATATATATATATATATAAGAATAATAAATCTGAAGTGCCAATTTTCGATATTTGGCATTTATAATTTATTAAGAATTAAAAAATTAAATAATGAGAATAATCCAATTAATTACAGTCGTTTGATGGATGAAAATAAACGGTTAAGATTAAGTGTAAGATGAACGGAAATTAACGATTAAGATTAAGTGTAAGATTTATTATTCTTACACCGGTGTAAATTGATATGTCATATATATATATAGGGGTTTACATTTCTGCAGCTGCTGTACGTGCAGCAATCAAATACTTGCCATATATATATTTGAAAGCATTAAATGCGGAGAATCATAACCATACAAAGGATGAAAACATTAAATGTGAGAAATCATAACCACACACCTGTCGTTGTTGTACGTAAAGCGGCTGCAAAAATGATTTTACCATATATATAGAAGGGATTAGTGTTTCTCATGTTTTAGGAGATAAATTTATCCCCTACACACACAAAAAAGTATGTGGGGCTCATATGGGGCCATGTGAAAAGAAGAGAGAAAAAAAACATGGGCCCTATTATGTCAATGGGATGGAGATGTCTAGTTAGAAACTAATGAATTTATCTTGGATCTAAGAGCTTTCTCAGGTATCTACTGATTAGATACCTTTGAGTGTAGCAGATCACGGCATTGCCAAAGGGCGGTGTGTGTGGGTGCGCACATTGACAACATAACAATAATAGAGAGAGAATATTCACATACTTGTAGGCTTTACCTCTTATTTATAAGGTTTACATGTGAGTAGTGAAATTATGGACCTTTGGTGGCTTTCCTGAGAGGTTGTGGCTAGGTTTGTAGCTGTCATATTAGGATTAATGGCAATCAAGGATTCTTTCTTTTATTTGCCTTAATTTCCTTTTTCAGTTGCCCTTTCCTAGGTCTTCTAGAATATGTGCCTCTTATGCGGGTCCACAACAGTTGCCCCCCAGCCCGGTAGTCCGAGTGTCCCGGCTATCGGGGTGCGTATTGTGTCTTAGCTTCATTTGTCGAGCTATAGTTTTCGCTGACCGGGTTAACCAAGTCATTATTGGATGCCTTTAGCCGCGTTATGAAATTGTCCCCATTGTTTGATATCTGGGAGCTCTATTATGCTTCCTCAATGTCTGTGGCGTGTGTCTTTGAATTTTTTCTCCCCTAACTCAATAGTCTAGAAGTTTGGGCTATCAGGATGTGTATAATAAAATCGACTATATCGCCTAGCAGTTTGTGCTTAAGTTTGTTTTGTCCAACTTGTTGTTGGCTTCGTATGGAGATCGGTCGCATGTGCATACAGAGCTCTATCTTGTTTTGGTCCAGTTTATCAAGCCTCAGATCTTGGTTCTGTTGCATTGCTTTTGTTGAGCTCAATGACTCACTCCCCATCTAGGATGTACTCCGTTGATAGGACACATTGGTCAAGTTTCTTATTGTGCGGATTTACTTCGACCAAGTTGCGTGACTTGCTCTAATTTCTTATCATATTTTATCTTTTCTCCCAAATCATGACTTCGTCCAAGACATTATGGTCGGGATCCTTGGTGAAGTAGTTTTTCTATATGCCAAGTTTTGTGTTTCCTCTTTATTATTTCCTTCCCGTTAATCCGGGTTTTGGGATTTTGCCCCCTTTGTGATGATTACGCCTTTATACGTGGCATTTTCCTATTCATGTGACATGCCTTGAGTCGTGTAGGCTGTCTTCATGCTTGATACACATTAAATGCTAATTGTTAGGACGTCTCTTCAACCGTCTTGTCAGTGGCAAAAATTGACGCTTTGCCCCTGCCTTTTCATTTCGCGCATCTAACCGTTAAACTTCTCCTCTCCCATTGCCTTTTTCAATGTTTCACTTCCTTTGTTTTCATTTCTTCCGTTTCTCCTCCTTTTCTGCGCTTTCTTCTTTGTTCTCTTCCCTTCAAGCATGTTTGGTGAAGAAAATTTGTTGGCTTCAGGAAGTTGTGTTGTTCCCCTTTTACTTATTCAATGCGTTTTTTGGTCTTCACCATTCTCTAAACAGGTACCTATTTTCCTCTGTTCTTGAGTTCTTCTATATGCTTTGGGTTTCGTTTGCTTTATATGTTTTCTTCGTGTGAAGATAATGCCATTCCTACTGCTCTGAATTTAGCCCTCTATGCTTTTGCTTTTGGTTTGCACATATCTGGGTAGATAATTTATAACCTCCTCCCCTTCCCCCCAAAAGTTTTCCCAACGCGTGCGTGTTGATACGAATGAGTGAATGGAGTTCGATAGGGTGAGGTACATCGAGTTGTACTCGCGGTTTTGGTCGAAGTGATGAAATGGAAGAGGACGAGTTCATTCGAAACCTTTATCTAGGGCCTAGGTATTGGCTTTCGAGCATAGACCGAACTGAGTAGGGGAAGCAAGCAGCGATTCTCCGTAGTTATTGCAGTAAAGGTGGCAAGAAGAAATCGAGTTTGTGCCCTCCACTTGGCCGAGGTAATGGTCGAGATGACAATTACGCAAGCTCTCCTGGAATAGTTATTTTGCGTTCCTCAGGTTCAATTGCGCAAATCCCTTCGAGGTTGCATACCTTGAATATCTCGGGTGCCTATGATAGTCGCACGTAGGGAATGGTGAGGCCAAGTGTGCTAAAGGCGTCTGTCCATCAACCCATGGATAAGAGGACCTTCTCTACGGCTCCTAATCCGAGACCGTCAAATTTGGACAATAGGGCCGAGGCTGAGCCTTGCTTTCTTGCATTTATCTTAGTTCTAAACTTGCTGGGCGCGGCTTGAATTCTCTTACTGAGTCCACTTTAATAAGTTGTTCTCATAAAAGAGGTTCTCTGAAGTCGGGTTCAATTCTTGGTGATGCGATTCATCCTATCGAGATTCTGGATGAGAGTTCGAGCTCGTCCAGTAGTAGTTCTTTTTATTCAGGTATGCCTACTATTTTTCTGATCCCAACTTTCCTTATTCTAGGTTTTTATGGAAATGTCTTTTGTAGAGTTAGTAGCGGAGTCGCACTCTGCCGAATTGGGGTACGAGCTGCCCTTTGCTGACTTGATAACCCAATATCCCTGGGTTTCACATGAGGTTTTGACCACCTTGTCCGAGCTGAGCTTAGAGGATGTTGGCAAAATGGACATCTACAAAATTATACCTCCTGGTAATAATGAACTCGTTTATTCAGGATGAAACCCAAATGAGCCTTCCTTTTTCTTCTTCTATTGAGATCTGATTATGAAGCTTGGTATCCAATTTCCTTTAGCTATAATAACCCATACCTGTGTAATGAGAAAAAGAGCAATTAAAGGTTCTACATGAATGAATGGGATTAATTAGATGAGAGGTCTAATTAATTAATTAATGTCTCTTTTCAACGAAAAAGTGCAATTACAGTGAGTTTTGCTGTAAAAATACAGTTGCGTAAATTACCCAAAAACTTTGAGACAAATTAGTGAGAGGCTAATTTATAAGATATGTGATTTATGTCACACATTTATATGCTAAGTCACGACTAGTAGAAGAATTTATAAGAGAGAAGTAAATGA